GCCCTTCTTAGAGGTCCCACCTCGGCCACGGGTGGCCTTGGACGTCCTCGGGTGCGCAGGCGGTAGGGCAGGCGCGGTGATCCGTGCCGACCTGCGGAGGGGTTCCGCTGCTAGGCCGTCGTGACCTTGCCCCTCTACCGCTGCTGCTCCGACCTCCCTCTGGTGGGCATCGCTGGCAGCTAGAGTCCTTCGATCTGTCGTATTGGTCGAGTTCGCTGGTTGAACCATGTTCGCTCGCGTGTTGGTTTAAAAGAATTGGGATGACTTAGATTGTCGTTCCCACAGACGGCGCCAAATGTTTATGCAAGGATGTGCACAACAGTGTGTTCCAGATTGCAGCTTGAACTCGGCCTCCGGACCGACCTGAACGCTTGGGCGGACCTGCACAAAAAGGTGAGCACTCCGACGATCAAGTCAGTATAGGTCGGATTCCCAGTTTAGTTCGAGGCCAGAAATCATCGTACCTGATCGGGGAGTGAGGTCCTCTACTTATGGGTGGTGGTCCCGCTAATCTCGCGACGGTTACACCCAGTAATCTCGGGACTGTCGGTTACACCCGGTAATCTCGGGATCGACGGTTACGCCCTATAATCACGCCGCTGACAGTTGCTCACATCGGCCCCTACCGAGCTTCCCGGTAGGTCGGACCTCGGCCAGGTTCACCTCGGCCCTCATACTTAGCATCTGTCAACGCTAGTGGTGGTGATCTCGGCGGTCCGAGCTGGGCATGACTCATGAGCCATCTTGGAGAACCAATAGGGGTCCTCCACGTGTCCAGGGTATTCCCTTCCCCAAACACATGAAGTGATATGCCTTTAAAAATCGAGTAGGTATATATATAGAAAAGTGATTTACATGAAGTGATATGCCTTTAAAAATAGTGTAGATAGTTAAAAAAGACTAGCATCATCTATAAAAGGGACCACTCCTCTAAATAGAAGTAGGTATTTTGCGGAGATCGGGGTGGGGATTCCTCGTATGGAATTCACAGGGATTGGGTTCCCTGTGGGAATTTTTTTATTTTTAAAATTATTTCTCAATTAAATATTTTTTTAAGGAAAATTTAATTAATTACTTAATTTTCAATGATAAATTTTTATTTACACATTCCGATCCTCTATATATTGGGTGGGTAGAGAAGAATATGATTTTTTTAGTATATGTATATATAGAGAGAATAATAAGATTTTTTTAGTGTATATATATAAAGTGAGGCAGGACGGAGAATGGAGAATGCATTCCCTATCCCCGTTTAGGTGACTAGAGAAAAACTTTCTTCATCTCCACTGCACGGGAAATTTAAATGGGGATGTCCCGCCCCATTTACGTGGATCCCCACGGGTCGCATCTTGGTGGAAAAATGAACATCCCAATAGAAGCAAAGTAGCACGTATATATATATTTTTTCCTTAGACAAAATAGGATGGCATGGTCTAGAAAAAGTGATTTGATATTTGATATGTTATTATTACTGCAAAATTATAATATGTTTCATGTGTCACTTTATTTTAGCCTATTGTCCATGTTATCTTTAGCTATAAAGAAATTTTATTTTTGGATAATTGAATAGTCATGTATCTATTTTTTTAGTAAATTGAACCAATGTTTGACCAACAGGCATCTAGACTACATAAAATCACAATGGGCTAAATATATAATAATTTAGTCATTAATACTTTTGTATTTTTTTCAATATGATCTTTTTATCTTTTAGAAGTTTTAATTTTATCTTTAATTTATTGATTTTTAATGAAGTTATTGTTGTCATAAAATGTTAAAACTAATTAACAAATTGATGATATTATAATGTCAAAATATACTTTAACTTGATGAAATATAATCATCCACCCATAAAATAAAAAAACTTATTTTATATAATTTTGTACGTACTAAACTTACTTAACCCAAACTTACCTATTGTATAGAAAATTGATCTATATATTGGATGGTAACAATTGACAGCCTTATAAAAATATCATTATTTTTAAATTAAGGACTTAATCAAAAAAATCAATGCGTGAAAGATAAAATTGAAACTTGAAAAGATTATTAAGCCTCGTTGATAATGTTTCAATTGACTATTTAAGATACACTTCTATTGAGTTTGATATCAATAAATGAATTTAATATAATTAATTTATTAAAAAATGTTGATGTTTTTTTATCTTCTTTCAGTACAACATTTGGGTTGAGAATTTAAATCCACAATATTTTGTTGGAAGATATATGTCTTAATCAGTTTATTGATGTTAGTACGTTATAATGGAAAATTCGAAAACAATGAATTTTCGTCAAAATGGATAAAAATTGAATTTAAACAAATTTCAGTAAGCTCATCCATCCACGGTCAAGATCCAATCAAACATTGATCCAATGGTTGAAATTAACTAGAAATCTAGATGCCAATGCAATCACCTGTGTTACAAGTTTGGATGTTCTTCCATAGATGAAGATTTCATCTAGAAAATAATGACTGATGAGTTGGGAAGAACATCTGTATATAATTTGTTAGGAAAATACATTTTTTAGCCTATAAATTCGAAAATTATTTCTTAATATTTTAAGAATCGAACATCTGGACCATTGAAATTTGTAAAATGTTTCAAAGTTCATCATTGAAATCACTATTTTAATACTAATCCAACCAAACAAGTCAAATGATGATATCAACATTTGGAAAAAGGATCATATATAATTAACTTGTCACATCATTCAAAATTTCAAAATTAAAAACATATGTTTGTTAATATTACTAAACGTATATTTCAGGAACTAAAAAGTATATTTCTATCTAATTTTTAACTTCAAGCTTACACCCTTGTGAGATATCCAAGATTAATTGGATTGTTTTTTTCTCTTTTTTCCCCTAAATTTATTTAATATTTAGGGTAAAAAAGATAAATATCTTGCCAAATAACATGCATCATTTTGTTTACCTTCGACCAAATGTTGATGAAATGTCTAAGTCCCACAATTTCATAGAAATATCGATGGAAATATTGATAAAATATCGTTGTCGATAGATATTTTCATAAAAATTAAAGAAATTAAAAAATTATAGAAAATATATAAATTAACAAATAAATATTTTCTATATCTAAATAAGTTAAAAATAATTAATATTAATATTATGTAAATATTAAGTGACATTTCGTTGATATTTTTTATATTTTGTCAATTTTTTTTGTAATACAATAGAAATGTCGATTTACCCTCATATCGATGTCGAACTCATGAATACATAGAAATGTCAACATGTCGACGAATATTTAATACCAGGTCTTCAACAAGAGTTCTGGAATAACATCATCTTGAGCTCTAACTTACCTGAGGATGATGATATTTCTACTTCATTTGAAACTAATTCTATCGACACTGTCAAAGTCACAATAGAACTTACTACTTAATTAGAATGCATCTTATCGGCGACCCCTCGGCGCCAAGCAACCTAAGAGGTAAGCAATGGATAGAATATAATCCTGGCTGGACGCCGTCGAGCTTTAAACCTTCAACGATAATGGTTTCCTGAAGCAAGAAGATGGTATCAGTGTTTGTGATTGATCTATGATAGTATCAGGTTGAGCTTGTTAGTTACTCAGTATCTAAAAAAGAAACCACGGATGTGTGGAAAAGCAATAATCTCTTTTGAGCAATTGCTACTGATAATAATGTTAGTCATGCCTAACGACAAAGGCACAGAAGGAAAACAAATGCAGAGTGCCAACAGTAAAACATGTGAAACAGAAGAAAATGGGGATCGGATAGAAGCTTCCTGAAAGAGTAGCGGTAGGAGCGGGATGGGGGTGACCATTCGTCGCTTCCTTTTACTTTTAACTTCATAGAAATAAGGGAGAGACAGATGATTAGTATCTATGTTTAACTAGGCAAGAGGACTTTCTTCCTTCTCGTATCAATTATCAGAAACCATTGTTGATGGAATCTAAACAATACCATTTCATAATTTTAGGAAGTAATTGATAAAATTTGACTCATAAGATGAAAATTTAGTGGTCATCAGCAACAGTAAATAGAATTACCTTAATGAAAACTCTAGGTACTCTGTCTGTCCAGGCACATTCATTACAGAAAATAAATGTAGTTCATTTATTGCAAACAAGCTCTATCTCAGTAATAGCATTCCAATTCAAGGAGAAAAAAAATGATGAATTAAATAGTCAGAAAGAAGAAAGTCCAGAGAAAATTCATGCATAGAATACATTCTCTACTACTCCAGAAAAAATTTCCTTACCCTGCCCTCTAGAAATTCTAGATGAGATGGAATAAGATCATCAAAGGCTGCAACTGATAAGTAGTCAATTCCTGCATAATTGAAGCAGACTTCAGTCGAATCATTGGGCTCTCCTAAAAGAGATCAAAGTTAACAGAAGAGTAATCTTTCTCTCACCAACAAGTTTGATATCAGTGTTCTCTACCAGCCATCTTGCTCCATCCTTCATAAATCCCACATAGCTTGTATCAAACTCCCTTTTCCACATGAGACGTCTGAAATAGAATGGATCACCAAGTTGAGAATTGGAACTTGGAAGACTTTCTCCATTACAACTACAGTTTTCTCTTATGATTTTCATTGCTAAATTGCATAAAAAAGATTAGCTCTACTTTCAACTAAACTAAATTTCACTTAGTAACAAGTTACTGAAACCATCTTTGAGAAAGACGGTAAAATAGGCAAACCTGTGAAAGTGAGGATTAAATATCTGTTGCCTTACCAGATTTGTGATACTTTTCAGACATTAGAAATTAGGAAAAGACATGAACATGGTTTTTCAAGTTCAAATTTGATTCATAAGGAACAAATAAGGAAACAAATAAAAGATCAAATATCAGGGCTAACAAGGTAGAAGATGCTAATTGGACAATAATATAGGTAGGTAGTCTAATAGCATTTTTACCTAAAATACAAATAAAACGAAAACGACACAGGAAGCGCATGTAACTGAAAGTTCTCACCTGTCTGTATTTAATGTTCTGAAGAGTACACGACGCACTCCTTTGGGAATATTTAAAGACTTCATGACCTCAGCTGCAACAAATAGAAAACCAAAATTTGTTTCAACACCCACTTCAAGTTTTCATGTATCCCAAAATAAATATCAAGACTCATTTGTTCCTCGTTTTTGGATTATGTATTACTTGGTAGATACAGTGTATAATTCAGAAAAATTGTTAAATCTATCCACAGCACACATGTCTTATAAACATATCTGCAAACATCAGAGACCGTGCAAAGCTAAACTAGTGAGAAACACACAAATGGCAAGCAAGAAAAACAATGGAGGATGCCGTACCAGTAATGTTCTTATCCCTTGGAACGTCAACTAACAGTCCAGGACCTGAAGGAACAAATACATAAGACAACCAAAACAGTGTTTTAGTCAATAAATGCATTTTAAGCGATTATAGTTTTCGCACTAAATTCACTGTTTCCAGTACTAATCAACAAATTCCAAGAGTATGAACTTCAATTTCCAAGGCTTCTATTTAAGATAAATCCATAGCATCAAATCCAACAAAATCACACCGAAGAAAATCAAAGATTAGAATCAAATACCATTAAGGACTTCCAGGTCGAGTGTATCAACATCGAAACCAGCATCGAAGTAGTGATCGAAAACATGACCAGGCGCATCGACGTGCGTGCCAGTGTGAGCTGGAAGCTTAATTTCAGAATTATTAGCGAGCGAGCCGTTCTTCATGCTCTTCGGAAGCGAGAGGAACTGGCCAAGCCCTTCGTCAGATTCCCATGACGGCATATCTGCAGTGACGCGATGACTGATGTCGATTATTCGTCCATTATCGTACACCTCCCGACGAATTGGAATAAGGCCGGCATCGCCGCCGTTGGAAAGTGAGCAATCGGTGGCTGCGGTGTCGACGACGGAGGGGTACGCTATGTTGGAACTGGAAGCGCCGGCGAGAAGGAGGCCGGGAAGGGCCTGAAGCAAGGCGAAGAGAATCAAAGAGAGTGGGAGAATCATGATCGGCAGAGCTCCGGAGGAATTTGGTGGAGAAATATTTGAGGAATAATTTGGAGTTGCAGAGACGATGTTTACCAATTTCCAGATGCTGTTTCAAAAATAATGGGGACAAGGGATTGTACGCTTCACACAAGTGGACGAAAATTTGTGTCAGTTCCTACGTGCCAAGGACTGCCAAGGACAGTCTCAGGTATACCATTTCTATGGTTCARATGGTTAAAGTACCTATCAAAGGTGTATCTCGGAAGGAGGGAGGGAGAAAAAAAAACTTAGAAAGCGTGTATCCCGGGCTGGGATTGCGGTCCGCAATTGTTATAGAACAATCCCAGACCGGGATAGTATTTTTTAATACCATCCCAGTTCGAGTATGCAATCGCAGTCTGGGATTGTGCAATCCCGAGTCAGGATCCACGCTGGTTTTTTTTCCTCCTTCCTTCCTTATTCCTCTTCTCTTAGCCCTCTTTTTGTCAATTAAATGTCAAGCATTTAATGCAATATTAACTCGATATTTATGGAATCTTACTTTTTTTTAATAAATGTAATGATGTAAATTCGATTTTCCATATTAACGATTAAATATTTAATATTTCATTATGTAATTTCAACTTTTTTTAATAGGTTTTTTCCATATTAAATTTATAACTAACTATTTGAGTTAGATTTTTTTTTAATTCGTAATTGATTTTTCCAGTTTAAAAGTTAGAATTTTTAGATTTGTAATTCATTATTGTAAGGTGTATGGTGAGACATTGGTAGAGGGAATAAAGATGATGAAGAAATTTACTTTTTGAATATGGATGATGTTTTAGTAATTTTACAAAGTCAAAAAGTGAAAATAGGTAAAAAATTAGAAGAGAGGGCTAATGAGCCAGAGATTTTAAAAATGGGTCAAAAGTCTGAATTAAGAGAGGGACAAAAATCTCAATTTCGCTTCCTCCTCCCCTTCTTATGAAACTCAACCATCAACCATTGTCTCCATCCCACCGGCCATCAACGTTGCCGTCGCCAATCTCCTCTGATGAGGTTCGCTGGCAACGAAGAGGGAACAAAAGAGAGAAGCACCTCTTTTTCGTTCCAGATTTGGAACAATGCTAAATTTGGAAGGCTTCTGAGGAGGAAAGAAAGTAGAGAAAATTATAAAATAAAGTTTCATATTCAATTCAATTCCCTAATCTCCATGCAAATATATCATCTTATGTATAATAAGATAATTCTTAATCATAATAGGAATAAAACATCTCAATCAAAATGGTATCCAAAATTAAATTCTAAATCTCAAATCATATTAAATCGATTCTCAAATCATATCAAATCGTTTCCTAAATTATATCAATCTCATAACAAACAAGGAGACATCTGTCTTCGACAATGCTTGTCTTCCACAATGCTCGTTGTCGTCGATGCCGCCGCCCACTACCATCGTCAATGATTTGAAGCTTCGTTGGTAACAATTGGTCTCAAGTTCCAGATCTTAAGCTTAATTGGAATCAATCCTGTTGTTCTCTTTGACATTCCAAATCCAGATCTGGAACACATTTCGAATCTGTAAGCTTTTTTCTGACGACGGTAGTGGGCATTCCAGATCTTGCTGCCGGCAAAGGTCATCAGAGGAGATTGGTGGCGACGGTGTTGATGGCTGTCAAGGATGAAGATAGTGGTCGGTGTAAGAGCAAAGGGAAGAATACAATATAAGAAAATACGTTGTTGCGTCGTAGAAACCATGGTAAGTAAAGTTTGGCACGACCATGGTGCTAAATCGTTAGTCGTCGATTACTTCCTAAGATTAACACAAAACCTAAATTCAAGCTTGCACTCATGGAAAACGGATTGGAATCAGCTCAAAACAAATTTAAAAAATAGAGAAGAGAAACATGACAGAGAAGCAGGGGGAGGAATGGAAGAATTGTGTCTCACAAATCAAACAAAAGAGGATATATATATATATATATAGGTAAAAACGTTTTTCCTTATCATTAATGAAAAAATGGTTTTTATCGATTAAAACAAAAACTTTTTAGCAATTTCAATGAGAGCATATTTATCCCACAATGTCTAAAAATGTTCAAATAATAGCAAGGATTAGTACATTGAGCTATTTACAAATCATAATTACATAAAAACATTAAAATGTATATAATTTACACTCTTGTCATGAAACAATCCTAATTAGGATGGTATCCATGACACGAATTACTAGTATATCATTTTTGTAATATTAAATCATTTTTAAAATCACAAATTGATAAATTGGGAGGTTACAATTTAAATCCCTTAAAATTTGCTTAACTGCACCCTCCAAAGGTAAAATATATATATATATATATATATATATACATCAAAACTACAAAAATCCTCAAAATCATCCATTTCCGAAAAAATTTGAAACCCCTCCCTCTGACTCTTCTGCTTCCTCTGTTTTTCGTCTTCGACCGATCGTCTCTGCATTCCTTCGCCTCCGTTGCCATTCGGTTGCCTCCTTTCCGACCGTCGTATCTGTTCTTCTTATTTTGTTGCAATCTCCGTTATTCTTATTCAAAAACCTGCCGTTTCCGTCCACTCCTTCGTCTCCGGTCGCCGTTCCCTCGTCTCTGATCCCCCTCCATTGCTGGAGCAGTTCGTCTCCGTTTATCCCGATCAAAAGATTTGCATAACAATATATCTTAATAGTTTTCGCTTTCAGATTTGTACAATGTTGAAAACCCTGTTTTTTTTTTGTATTGTTAAACTCTTTCAATGTTCCTTCCATGCCCCAAGTAATCTCCAACGGTTGTTTTCGATTTCTAATTTCGTGTGAACTATTGTATATATGGAGATATAAGGAAGTTTATATGGAATTTAGTTTATATCTGGATACATCCGAGGGTTGTAGTTGGAGAGTGAGTTGCTAACAATGATTTTATTTTAGAAACCTAAAAAATCCGGATATATCCGAGGGTTGTAGTTGGAGAGTGAGTTACTAATAGTGATTTTAAGAGGTTTATATGGAATTTAGTATGTATCTGGATATATCTGAGGGTTGTAGTTGGAAAATAAGTTGCTAACAGTGATTTTATTTTAGAAGCCTAAAAAATTCTGATATATCTGAGGGTTGTAGTTGAATAGTGAGTTGCTAACAGTGATTTGAGGAAGTTTATATAGAATTTAGTTTATATCCGGATACATCCGAGGGTTATAGTTGGAGAATGAGTTGCTAACAATGATTTTAGGAAGACTTGTACCTGTTGAATAAGGGAACAGTGGGAAATTACAAAATGGGAGAGAATGATTTAGATATTTTTGTAATTAATAATATTGGTAAATCAAGAGAATCAATCTTTTTMCAGGAGTAAATTAAGGTTTTTGAAAGAGTAGGGAATAGTGTTTAAAATTTGTATGGGATCCATAATCATTTATGGAATTAAATATTTTACATTTAAAAAAACAAATAACTATAATAAATATAAATACAATAAATAAGGATAAAATCGAAACTAAAATAAAATTCTACCTGCAGAAATCTAAAAGTGTAAAATTAGAAAATTTTAGATATTTTTGTAAATAAATTTTTAAAACAAAAACATTATCCCTGATGGCAATAATAGCTATGAGCCCTACACTTTATTAAAACATTTCAAATCAAATGTGAATGGCCCATGATGATTTCAATCAAATTTGAAAGGCCACGGGCCTGACACTATGCTCGCAATACTTGGTCAAAAGGTTTGGGTCCAAAACATAGAATGATTTATAACCAAACTATTTATTTTTCACGTGGACAACACCAAAGACTATTTTTACATCAAAGATTATTTTTATTTTGAAAAACATCTTTCTCCTTCGTGGAAGAAAAAGAGGGAGCTGCCTTGGTAAAAAAAGAAGAAGAAGAAAAAAAATCCAATCATCATAAATAAATTGATAAATTAATATATTTGTCCAAATAAATAAAATAAGTCACTAATTTAACTGTCACGTCATTTTACCTTTAGTTAATTATCGGTCAAATGAAGTTAGGGCTATTTAGAATTATTTTTCAAACTTCAACAATTAAAAGTGTCTCTTTTAAAACTTCAAGATCAAATAGACACTAGCCTTAAAACTCACGGACCAAAAGTTGTGAGATAAATATGTTCTCTTTTACCGTTTATTGTCACGTCATTTGTATTGTTTTTTTTTAATGATAATTTCTATATATCTCCAATCAATAAATTGTGAGCTCGATTTCCCACCCTCACATATTGTACTTAAAAAAATAAGAAAGCGATAATTGGTATATATCTCCAACCATGGGGCTGTGGGTTGGAATCCCCTCTCCAACTAGTCGATGAAAAAGGAAAGAGGGAAAAAAAAACACAAGAAATTTGAATTTAAAATCACTATTGCTCGGTAAATTTCTTACCTTTCGAAATGAAAAGTGTCTTCCTCAATCACGCAATCATTTTCTTCGTCTTTCTCCTGGCTTACATGGACTCACACACTTTCTACCGACTCTGTTCTACAATAAATTTTCTCCCATGAATATATTTTGCTCATGAAGTTTTTACTCTTCACCACTCTCCTTCAACTATTATGGCGTGTGAAGCTTTTCATAGTCAATGAAACCATTCGTTGATAATTATTTTGGTTTTGGTTTTTTTATTTTTAAAAAATAGGTTGTTTTTGTAACCAATTTAATTTTCTATTTTTTATTTTTTTAAATTATTTTGAAATTTTACATAAAAAAATCTGATTTTTTCTTCTAAATACTTAACTTTTTTTTTTCTCGTATTTATCTCTAAAAAAATTCTTTCTCTCTAAATTTTTTTTCTTTATAAATTTTTTTCTACAAAATTTAGTTTTCTCTTTCTAAAATTTTCATATTTTGAATATTTATTATTATTTGTCTCTTTTYGATCTTTTTCTATATTTTTCTTTTTTATTTTTTTTCTAACCTATCGGTTTCATTTCTCTCTCTCAAAATTTAATATTTTTCCTAATTTTTTCTATCTAAAATTTCGTTTATAACTTTTATTTCTCTTCATAATCTAAAAATTATACCTTATTTTCTCGTTAGATTTGCTTTCGTTGTAACTTTTATTTATCTCTGTATTTATTTATTTTCTCTAAAAATTATATTTTGAATATTGTTTTTATCTATAAATTTGTTTCCACTATAATTTTTTTTCTTTTCTTTATATCTTTTTTTCTTTAGCATATTTTTTCCTCTTGATTTTACCTTTTTTTATTAAAATTTTTCTCTTTTTACCTTTAACTTTTATTTTACTAATTTTTTTCTAAATCTTTTTATTTATCTCTCTAAAATTTATTTCCATAGGATCGAGTCCCAAAAATRGGAAATGCATGTCCGGACCCTATCCCCGACTCCATTTTGTAAATAATTAATATATATTTATTACACTTTTTTATACTTAAATTCTAAAAATAATTAAAAATAATTATAAAACCGATAATTTTTCTCAARAACATCTCTCAGACCAAAGAACGAGATGTAGACAGGGATTAAAAATTTTCACGAGTACAAGAATGGGRAAGAGTATCCTCACTCGCACTCACATCATTGTCATCTCTACTCTACATAGAATTTTCTCTCTCTAACGTTTTTTGTATTAATTTTAATAAGTTAATGGAAGAAACATTTTATTTTTTTATTTCTTTATTATTAAAATACAATTTTAAAAGAATGAAGAAATACAAACATTTGGCACTAAAAATATAATCTTTTTCTTTATCTTTGTCTTTATCMATGTGCTAGGCACATACTTTCAACCAAAAATTGTGGGTTCAAATCTTCATCCACACATGTTGTACTTAAAAAAAAAATAAATTAATTAATTAATTAAATACACATTGAAACGAGTAGCAATGATTTCCAACAGACTAATATTTCAAGCAATGTGAGCTGACAACAAAGGAAATTTTTAAAGCATATATATACAATATATAATTTCGAATTCGAGCCGAGTTGAACCAACTACTAAATAATTGAACCCAAGACCCAGAATTTATTTAACACAACTGAACCGTATTTGGTTCGTTTGGGTTGCCGGGTTTTTTAACACCCATACCGTAAATGCATCATATAATACTTACCTATTTTACAGTGTCTCCATAATTTGGAAGCTGAAGTAATGTTACCAACGATGCTTCATTGAAATCTGAGAGTCTGAGACAAAGGAAACAAGATCAACAAATTAGTACAAATGTAAATAGGCCCAAGTTCGAGTATCGAAGCGGCACAAATGCCAAAAAAAAAAAGGTTACAATGTGATAGTCTTAGTTTTGTATTTTCATTTAGGACCATTTAACTAATATTTTGATGTTATTAGTCAGTATCTATTCTCAAGTTCTAAAAATTAGTTATTTCTATGGCCGGGTAAGAATTAGATAGCATCTAGGATATTTCTTTACCTCCACCATGCTATTGGACATCTGTAACGTCCCAAGCCCAGATTCGGAATCTAGATGTCCCTTCATCATGCTTTATCCTCACTCACGTGCTTCATGTTTCATAGTAAAGCAACTAGAGGGTCACCCAACCTCATATGGTTCCAAGTCAAACACGTTGAATTTTGGAGTTTTTACGATTGAATTACCGAAAAGAAGAGTGCACCTTGTTAGTACAGGTAGTAACTATCCATTCTTTTAAGTCTTAAAACATTCTTCCATGGTCTCAGGATCCATTTCATTCGGATGTGGTATCGATTCGAGCATCACACCATCAAATTTGTTTGATAACGAAACCTTTCAGACTTCCATAAACATGTTTATAAATACTTGATACTATGTGGCCACCTATTAGGATTTAACTGACAACAAAATATGGTAAGGTCAAACAGTTGCCCTATAAAATTAGTTGAGGTACATACAATCTAATCTGAATACTCATAGATATTTTATATATAAATAATAAATCATTCAATGGTTCATTCTATGTTTAAATATGATATAGAAAAGTCTAAGTCAAAATTAGAATTGGTTTATTCTAAATCTTATCAAATTTAGAGTCCAATAACTAGATGAAAAACTCTAAAAGGGTATGCAAAATAAGTATGAAAAAACAAGTCCAAACCATCGACACCAAAATGGTACCTTCAAATTTAATTGGGAATATTCTAAAAMAAACTAGATAGTCTGTGTTTGGTTATTACGAGCTAAAACCTGGCTTTACAAAAAGACATTTCAAGTTTGTCCTACGATAATAACTGATATTATTCAGCAATTTTTTTTACTTTTAACTAATTTTACAGATTTCTTTTTGAGTAAATTACACAAACCACCCCTAAGGTATAATGATTGTTGCAATTGCACCTATAAACTTTCGATTGTAAAAATCAAATCCTTAAATTTTTACAAGTGAAAAAATTGTACACATCAACTCTTAATGGTTAAATTTAAACCCATAAACTTTGATAATGGAAGAAATTACACCACTAAAACTTTCAATTTGTAAAATTAAATAAAAAAAAATCTATCTTTCTTTTCTCTCCCAGTTTTTCTCCTATCATTCTACTTTCTCTCTCATGGTACTCATTCTCTGCGTCTACCTCTGTACACCGCCAGTTTCCGATCTATCACCAGTTGTTGTCTTTTCCGGCTAGTCTTAGCCCTCAAGTTCATTATACAATATAATGGTAGTAGAATTTATTTTCTAAAACTATGGCCACGAATTGGGTTCATCTTTCTTTTGGTTCTCCCGGTTGTTTACCAATTTTTCTTCAAAGGGGTTGTCTGAAACTAAGGTTGTGACGAGCCTAACTTCAATTCTTTAACTGTTTTTGGGTCTAAGAGATTTATTTTGGACGGAATCGAATACAATACGCATAGAACACAAGTAATAGAGTCCAAACGGCCATAGGATTCGAACAGGATCGAGCTCAGAATTGTGGATTCGAAGCCCACAAATCTGAAACTCAAATGGAACTATTGGGATCTTAGTTGAGGGTCCAAATTCCTCATCTGCATCTTTGCTTCTCTAGCCGATGTGTTCTCAAAATCTCTGGTGCAATTTGGGATCAAGATGAGGAATTCGGATATGGGTTCCTTCTTTCCAGTGTACACAAGTAGAGAGAGACGGAGAACATGAAATGGTAGAATGAGATGAGGAAAAGTGGGAGAGAAAGTAAAAAAATAATTTTATTTTTCTTTTTTTAGTTTTAGAAATTGAAAATTTTGGTGTGTAATTTTTTCAATTATCAAAGAGGGTTTAATTTTTATAATTAAAAATTTATGGATACAATTTTTTCACTTGGAAAAGTTTAAGGGTTTAATTTCTTCAATTATAAATGTTCAAGGGTTTAATTTTTACAATTGAAAGTTTATGGATGTAATTGCAACAATCATCATACTTTAGGGTGGTTTGTGCAATTTACCCTTTTTTTTTACTCATTGTCGAGAAACTAGTAAGACTTTAATATTCTAAATAGGCGGTGACCCCACAATGAGGTTTGACTTTAAACCCATTTTCCCCAAGTTCCTTTTACATTTTTCACTTGGCTACATTAACTTTCTTTTTTTTCTTTTCTTTTCTTTGTCTCATGGGAGACAAATCCATGTGGTCAAATACCTTCCCTCTCTTATCATCTTTCTTTTCCCTTCAAATTTTTTCCATTTCTTCCTCTGTCCTACTACAATCACAAGGCACAGGAAACAGGATTTTTTGTCCAATTGACGCTATATGCTTATGCTTAGGGAATGGATATGTGATAATCATCAAGAGATGCAAGTGATAATTGGATGATTGATGAATAATCAGTTTTATAAAAATGAAACTTACTAGATGGTTTTTATTTGATCAGAATGCATCGTATGGGCGATCCCTCCGCTCCGAGCAACCTCAGGGGCAAGCAATGAACCGAGTATAGTCCCACCTCAACGTCGCCCAGTTTTAGGCCTTCCACCAGAATGATTTCCTTAAACATACACAAAAGTTTTAATGTTACATTGGTTACAACAAGAGCCAGAAAGTACTTTTTAATTCCAAGTATTAAAGAGTTTCAAATAACGGCCACTGAGTGCAGTTTCTACAAGACTTTGCTAGTATCAGATATCACTTGAACCATAGTTTGTACTTCCACTCATCCTCAGAACTAAGTGGTCATGCTCTGAAATTATGTTGAATTGACAGTAATCTATAAAAAGATTCTATGGCTTTTCTGAATTTATCATTTGCATTGCCTTCATCCTTCAGTGCGATATTAGTTGGCAACATATCAAATTAATAAATGCACTGATCAAGCACAGGGTAGTAATCATTCAAAGAAATCCCAGTTTTTCTGCTCATGTACAACACAAAAACAAGGAATGTTCACTTCAATGCATATTAGAGGTGTTCCAATTTAATTGCCTGTCCCCATGAAATTCCTCATAAAATTTCGTGGGGAACGGGGCGAGGATTCCTCAGGAGGAATTATTTCCTTTTCTTTTTTTAATAATTTCTCGATTCAATAATTTTTTTTAAAATTCTAATTAAATACTTACTTCTCAATGATCTCCATTTAGAGAGGTAGGTCATCTTCATTTAGAAGAAAATTTCTTAAAATTCCTAATAAAAACAATATAATTTTTAATCTTAGTCCAATTATCCATACACCACATATAAGTCCACATATCTCAACAATAATATTGAATTTTACACAAAAATATAAATAAATAAATAAATATATATATATATATATATCGATCAATCAAGGTGGGGCAAGGCTCCCGTTTAGGTGACAGAGACAACCCCGTTTAGAGCAGAGCCCCAGAAAAATGACATCTCTAATGCATATCAAGGCCACACATAAGAGTTGGAAAGATCAATACTCAAAATAAACTTCATCCAAGTTTTAAGGTTTTAAGGTGTGTTTGGGAGTGCTTAAAAAATACTTAATACAAATCACTTTAATGTTTGATTCTACATTTTTAGAAGTGTTCTTAACGCTTCTTGGACAAGTACTTAGGCCATAGCACTCTACAGGTGTACAAGTACTTAGGCCATAGCACTCTACAGGTGTTTATTCACGAAGAACTATAAGGTCTTTTTTACTTTTTTCAGAAGCACTTATATGTTACTACTTCTAAAAATGATTTTTCAATAGAAGGTATTTTTAACCATGTCAAAAGCACTGAAATATAGCCCTGGTTAGTCAAATATAACCCCACTTAACGAACCATGGGAGATGCACAGCCACAAACAGAGCATTCAGAAAGATATTTTGGGTAAAATTGAAAGTCTTACTCTGCTTTCTAGAAACTCAAGGTGAGCTGGAACCAGATCATCATCGGCTGCAACTGACAAGTAATCAATCCCTGTTTTTAATTATAAACAAAATATTAGCAATTTAGTATTATAAAAAGGGAAGAGTATTGTATTAAAATTATGGAAATAGAAAACAAGTATGCTAATTCTTATTACTTGGGGTGGACCATAGAAATCCAACATATGTGAACATAAACAGAAAAGTATCACTCATCATCTCCAAGTTAAACGCTCTGTCTTGTAGATTTTGGGAATGCAAGCAACCAATCCTCGCTTCAGCTTCCCATTACATAGAACAAGGAAGATCCACGAAGAACAAAAATGAAGCATGTACTTCAAATTTGCGAACCACAAGGGTGCTGGTAGCAAAACATTCAACTAATTGATGATTTTGTTCAAGTGGTACTTCCAGATAGAACTATTAGAGAACATCAATTTTTTTGGAGCGACTCTACTCTTTTCCTCAAGCGAAGTGTATTTTTTCTATTTATCAATCAGTATGTGCCCTTTATACCATATTTAGCATCCTAAGATTGCTCAAAGAAGACGTTGCCTATATCAATTCTCACCAACAAGTTTGATGTCAGTATTATCCACCAACCATTTTGCCCCGTCCTTTAGGAATCCAGTATAGCTTGTGTCATATTCCTTTTTAAACATGAGCTTCCTGAAATGGTAACTTCCACGTTAGTATAACTCCATTCTGGACAGTGGTCAATGATTTTGATAATGTAAGGGATAACAAGAAGTTAAAGAGGCTTTGGAAGGAAAGTTAGAACACCATTTCTTATGTTGTTTTGTAGCTACAGTTATGTACATGGTATAACACTTCTCATAATTCAAGTGAAAAGCAGAAATTTTAGTGCAAAACAACAACTAATGGATTTCGAACATGTTGGATTTGAGACAGTCTAAATATAAAGACACCTACAATGCAGGACTTCACAACTTCAGCTGTACTAATACATTTCTGACCAAAAAAACGACTTCACCTGTCGGTATTTAGTGTCCTGAACAACACACGAATTGTGCCTTTGGGAATATCCAAGGACTTCATAACTTCAGCTGTACGAATACATTCTAAAGATAAGTCCAAAACACAGTAAACACACTTTCTTAAATAATTAATGATCAGATAAGTAGAATTTTATCTTGTTCATATCAATCTAATACTAGCGTCGTGTGGTAAGCCACTCATATACAGGGGTGTTCAAAAAATACGTACCTGTTATATTTTTGTCTCTTGGTACGTCCACCAACAATGCAGGGCCTAACATAACAGACAAACATCACTATTTATTGCCCTAACAGAGGTTGCTTCCTCTTTCTCATATAAACCTCAATTATCGAACATACAAACAAATTTCAACAACTTCCCACCTCCAGTTTTACCGTAATCAAGTGATTTAACAACAAAATTTGAGAATGAAAGGATCAAAACTCAGCCGTGTTCAAAACTTTTCAGCTAAAATTATGAAAGGGGAAAAACTTTAGAAGATGACACCGCATCCGTACGGCTTACCATTAAGCACTCCCAAGTCGAGCGTATCGACATCGAAACCGGCATCGAAGTAGTGATCGAACATGTGACCAGGAGCGTCGACGTGGGTGCCGGCATGATTCGGGAGCTTAAACTGGGAGAAATTGGCGATTGAGCCGTTCTTCATGGTGATGATGAGCCAGACGAACTGGCCGAGCCCGGTTTCCTTGTAGTCCCAGCAGGGCGTCTCCGGGGAGTAGCGGTGAGTGATGTCGAAGATTCGGCCATTGCCGTAAACCTCTCTACGAATTGGGATGAGATTGCCGTCGCTGCTGGAGAGCCGTCGCTCAATTTCGTCGGATAGGCAAGGAGTTGCGGCGGCGGAAATGGTAAAGACCACCACCAAGTACACTACTGGTAGCCGGCGGGAGTGGCTCATACTTTCTCTAGGAAATGGCGCGATTGGATTATTTGGGATGGCAAATTAATGCCTTAAATATTTATATATTTTCTTAAATATTTCATAGTCAAACCTAACGTAAACATAGCTCGTGCATAGATCTTTGATCTATGTGTTCCAAGTTTGAATTATTGGCTTGTATGGTTGTTTTATAAGGTAAATTAGTTTGTTTCGTAGGGTTGGATTCGCATCTTTTGGATCTCTTAATGCAGAACTAGAATTATTCATGAGGTTGCTAACTCTCCTGTGAGAGTCTCTGAGTTATTTGAGATAGATAGTTTATGGTAATGGCCAAATCTTTCGACTAATACTTTAAAGATACAAGATTTTGTGGTAATTATAACTCCTCGGTAGGGGATGGAGGATAGTGTTATCTTGATCTTTGGCGACATTGGGTTTGTTTACTATTTCAAGTGCTTAGGATGCTCTCCTCCTAAGGGCTCTAAAATGCTATGACACCATGTAATGTAGTTTAATGGTTGTATTCCTAAAACACTCGTTTGTGAGTTGGTTGGCTATTCGTAATCATTTGTCGATCCGAGATAATATGAGTTCTTGGGGTCTGTTTAGTCTAGTATTTTGTGTTCTTTGTTCTTATGGGATTGAGTCTTGGAACCACGTCTTCTATGATTGTATATCTAGCAAATTTGTTTGGGATTGTATGATTGTCTTTAGTGGTTCCTCGCATAGTATTTTCTAAAGGAATACTGAGCTAGAATGGATTTGTCGTATTAGCAGAGGACGGTCTCCTAGATGTAGAGTTTGGAGGATTGCTTGGGCTACATCTATTTCTCTTATTTGGAGAAAGCATAATTCCATAGTCCATGGCGGTGCCCTTCATCCGGCTTCGATAATTTTACAACTTGTTCAGAGTGATGTTTTTTCTCGTGCTACCACTACTTGATAGGATAGCAAGGCCGGCTTAAGCTATAGGTGACTGCCTAAGGCCCCATTCTAGGAAGACCTCATATTTTTCCTATAATATATAATATTGATATTTATTTTATTTTATTTTATTTTTAATTATAAATTAAATTTAAAACATAAAATAATTTACTAATTACTTTTCATAATTTTTTCCTGGAGGAATTCATAATTTCTTTTATAATGAAAATACACACTATTAAAAAAATCCACAATTAATAGGTTTATAAATTTCTTTCAATTTTGATTGGCTTACCTTTCAAATTTGTTAACCCTAAACTTTCTATTCATGTTTATTTCAAGTTTCCTCAAAAATCTCGACCTATTAAAACAAGTTCCTCAAAATTTTCCTAAGTATAAGTTGGGAGTGTGGGAGACCTTCCATATTTTGTAATCTTTTTATTTATTTTTTTCACTAACCAAAACTTTTCAAGTTCTATAAAAAACTTCATAAATATATTAGATAGGTTACACTAATTTTAGGTTGAACTCTCGCCCTTTCTCACTCTCGACCTCTCTCAAATCTAAAATTTTCATTTTGATCTTATGTAGTCTCACAATATTATGGATTTCTAGAGTAGAAATTGAAACTTTTTTTCTCAACTCAACCTAGTAGCTTCAAACTTCCAGGTTTTTCGTTCAAATTTTTTTACTTTTTTTTTATAAATTATTTCATATTGTTGATTGCTCAAAATATAATATAAAAGATTTGCTTACTTAGAATATCAATATGTGAAAATATGAATTATTGGAAGTAAAAGTAATAAAAATGACGAAATTATAGAAGAAATGATAAATATAGACAAATCAATAGATGAAATAAAAATAGTAGATGATGATATGGTTGTGAATAAATGAAGTATCTAATCATGAAAAGCAAACTTAGAGAAAAAAGATTGCTAAGGAAATTGCAAATGATATGAAAATACAATCAATATTTCGCGAAAAAATAACGAATCGAAAAACAAAAAACAATTTGATGAGAATGTTGATATTGAAGAAACACGGTTACCGCAAGATTCAATTTCACGTATATAGAAATATCTTTCAACTTCTAATTTGATACGAAAATTTTAAAGTCATGTATAAAAAATTTTAAAGTCATTATATAATGATAATATAAAAAGATATTGTAGTAATCTTGAAAATATATTAAAACATGATACATTATCAATTTAGATTAATTTCTTGAATTAAAAATATTAAGAGAAGTCTGACAAAATTAAATTGATTTTATTAAAATATTAAATTATATAAAAAAGGTAAATGTTCAAATGTATATATTGCCTATAAAATATTATTAACAATATTAATAACAATTATTTCTGCTGAAAGAAGTTTTTCAAAATTAAAATTAATCGTATTTAAGGTCAATTATGTCTCAAGAAATATTAAATGGATTGATCGTATTGTTCATTGAAAATGATATATCATGAATTTATCAAATTTTGATACATAATTTTGCATCTCAAAAAGTAAGAAAAATAAATTTTAAAATGCTTAGTCAAAGCGTTCTAAACTACRTAAGAATCAACTCAACCAATAAGTTCTTCTTGCATCTCGAACTCAAAGCTAACTCCTAGCCCAAAAAAGCATCCAGCAATTTTAACTTCTCTAACATGGTTGCTTAAATTTTCTTTTACCATATTGTCTTGGCCAAGAATGGAACTTACCTATAAGTAGTATAACATCTCAACAAGTTTTGTTACTTTTTTTTTTATTTTTTCCTTCTTTGGTACTATAACTCTGCTCTTTTTTTTAGTACAACATTGAGGAAGGGATTCGAACTCACAACCTGTTCGTTGGAGATATATGTCAATTACCGTTGAGCTATGTTCGCTTTGATAGATAACTCCCTCTTGCCCCTACATGTTGTTTTGATTTCTCCATGTACAATTTTTTTCTTTTTTGTAACTTTCTTGTCACAATTTTCGAGCTTAATCATTTCTCCTTAAAATATCTATTTTAATTTTTAAAATTTTTAAAATAATTATTTTGATCTGTTCTACCACTCTATCCACTAAATAATGCTCACATAAGTATATTAGTACATAAAATCCTAAGACTTTTTAAAATATAGATATACAAATTAAATAGAAACAATTCTAAAATAACAATATTGGATTGCTTATCGATAATGATAAATACGAGTCAATTGCTGAGTAGTGTTTTGGTCAAATTTTAGAAACCACAACTTATATTGAAAAATAAAAGTTACTAAAAATCGAATATTTGTATAACATTTTTGTTTCTTGTTTATTATTTATTGATAAAGAATTACAAAACTATGTCTTGATAAATATTTTTTATTTATCATTATTTTTTTCTATTTAAAAATTTAAAAAATTGAATAACTATTTTTTATTTTTTTTATCTACAATTTTAAATTTAAAAAGTAAAAGTTTATATGAAAATTATTTTTTTGAAAATTAAATATTAACAAATTTTACGTTTAATGTATTTTTTTAAATATTTATTATACATTTTTTTACGTCATTCTAAGTTTCTATAATTTTCTTGCTTGGAATTTTATTAATTAAGCATTTTCTAAGCATATTTGCTGGGATTACATTAAGAATGATAAAATAAATACTATGTAAACAAGAAACTTTATTTTGTGCCAACAAGAGCATAGCTGGTTTAGATACGTGTCTCCAAAAAAGTCGTGAGTTAAAAGAAACTTTATTTTATTTTGTTGTGTTGGAAACTTGGAGTTGATTTCTTGCACGGCAAGTATAAACGTTTGATAGGTTGTGTTATAGGGAGAAAATAGAGATCAGACTAAACAACTGAAAAGAGAGGAAAGAGAGCCGAAGAACGAGTGGACCCGAAGAGAGGTAAGTGGGTCGAGGTCGAGGGGTTCTCGGTCCAGTGGCTGATAACCTCTCGAATGCGCCCCGACCCCGTGCAAGCCCAGTTCGAGTCGACTTGGCCTCGGCCCTGAATGCAACGTAAAGCACACTCCTTTTAAGATCTCCTTAGTGCATAAGGATTCAACTTACGTAAATCCTAAAGGGAATAGGATTCAACTAATGTAAACCCTAAAGGGATTGAGTTCAATTGATGTAAATCCGGGATTAAGATTCGACCTCTATAAATACGAGGTGGGTAAGCTAAACCCTAGAGGTGTGCTTAAAAAACCCTACTTTCTATACCCAACTACTCTGATACCAACTTAAGCATCAGAACTTGTGTGGCAAAAGCTACACCGATCTTAGTGTTATTCTGTTCTTCAGGTTTAGTCGATCCCTTTGTTCTAAAAGATTGTTGCGAATTTGGCAAGATTCTAGGAGGCCAAATTTCTGCATCAGGTTGAAAAGAGTTTAGTCATTATAATGACACAATTTGAAGACCAAACCTTTGCTAATTACTCACCTTCACAAGGGACGAGTTGAGTATGCTATTCTCACATAGTGCAAACCTACAACAATTGATGTTAGAAACTCAACCTCTCTAAATAGTTCATACCTATTTATTAACTATAGATCCTGGATAGACTAACTTGAGCGTCGTAGCCTTTTTTTCTCTATGTGCATGTTGTGTGCGTTCATCACTCACATTCGAGTCCAAACTTGGTAGATTTGGTCAAATTTTCTAATCAAACATGTTTTTTCTAAAATTTCTAAGCAACTTTAAAAACATTTATAATAACAATTACTAAGAGCTATATCTCTAAAAGATAGAAAATGAAAAACAAAAAAGAAACAAACAAACTAGAACATTACAAGATGATTATAAACAATGATGTGTTAGCATTGAATTGATTAGTTAAAAAAGAAGTTTGAAACTTGTTTTGCGGATGAGTGGAGGAACAAATTGGTAGTTCTTTTAGTGAATAAAATATCTTTGGACACAGCTGCAGCCTGCAACTCCTCCTCCACTTCTTCCACTCCACTGGCACTGTCCTTCAAACCCACTTCTTAATCCCCACCATTTCCATTTCCATTTCTCCATTCAAATCTCTCTCTCTCTCTACAATTCCTCCGCCATGGAAATCCCCACCAAGCTCCTTTCTCTCCTCCTCC